TAATAATAATAATAATAATAATAATAATAATAATAATAATAATAATAATAATAATAATAATAATAATAATAATAATAATAATAATAATACAATCATAAAACTATGTGGGTTTTTCATTATATGCAGACTGAGATAGCAATTTTTTTTACAAATGATTTTCTGTTTTCAAGTTATTATATTAATTGCATGAAAAACATGGTATGTTCCTTAAAATGAAGCTTTTAATAGAACGTAATCCCAAAAATGGGAAGCGAAACTGTAGAAATCTATAATCAAACCACCATGTATTGACATAGAAAAATTTACAGATGAAACTTACAAGAAAATTATGTATCTTAGCTAAGATGGCTAAGACCTATAAGAACCGTAAGCTAGATCTAAAAGAGAGAAAACTAAAGAAACTTTTCAAGAGAAATTAGAAAAATGAATTGTGTTGATTCATTGAAAGCCTGGTGTAAAGTTTATATAGTCTGTCCACTAATTGCAAAAAGCTCCCTGACTTTAAACATATTTGCACCGCTACCCTTGATGTTCCAAGAAATGTGAGGCGCAGTCCTCCAATCTTTGATCTTTCCAGACTTGAACAATTTTACCCCTTATGTTTATATTCCTTGCAAAACAATACAAATTAATACAAAAGTTAAGATTGACAATTTAATAGGATATCATATTTTAACACCCTCCCTCAATCTTGACTTTTGAATAAATCAATCATTTTGAGTTTTGAACAAAGAAAATTATGATGTGTTATACCAAGAGATTTTGTGAAAATATCAGCTGTTTGTTCAGAAGAAATTATTTTTACAATTTTTATTATTCCTTTACTGATGCTTTCACGAATTTGATGAACATCAATTTCTATGTGCTTTGTTCTTTCATGAAAGACCGGATTGTTTGCAATTTGAATTGCAGACTTGTTATCACAAAATAAACTAACAGGAAGTAAATTMTTTATGTTCAAATCTACTAAGATTTTAAGAATCCAAATAATTTCACACGTAACRGTGGCCATTGCTCTATACTCGGATTCAGCAGAAGAGCGTGAAACTGTGCTTTGTTTCTTGCTTTTCCATGAAAGCATAGAATTACCAAGAAATATACAAAAACCAGTAACAGACCTTCTAGAGGAAAGGCACTTACCCCAGTCGGCATCAACGTAAGCACTAAGAGAAAAATTTTCAGATCTGATGAAGCTAACACCTTTGCCAGGAGACAATTTTAAGTATCTAAGAATTCTAAGAGCAAGATTTARATGAGATTGCCTTGGAGCATGCATGAATTGACTTAAACAATGAACAGCAAACGCAATRTCAGGTCTAGTTGCTAAAAGATAAATGAGTTTYCCAATTAATCTTTGAAAACCAGTATGATCAGATAGATATGGATCTTTTGAGCTACTAGAGTCTGTTACAATCAAATTCATGTCCATAGGTGTGTTGCAAGGTTTACAACCAAGATAACCAAATTCATGAAGCAATTCAAGACAATATTTTCTTTGCGACATACACAACCCATTTGCACAATCTAAGATCTCAATCCCAAGAAAATATTTTAGCTTTCCCAAATCCTTAATGAGAAACTTACTCTTAAGAMATTCTTTAACATCATTTATTTCCTGATTATTATTTCCAGTTATCACTATATCATCAACATAAACAAGCAAAATTATGAAAACATTATTAACAGACTTTATAAACAGAGAATAATCATTTATGCTTTGAACGAACCCATTTTCAAGTAAACACGAAGACAATTTTGCATACCATTGCCTCGGAGCCTGTTTTAAGCCATATAGGGATTTAATAAGTTTGCATACTCGTTTATCGTTAGGACTATAATACCCCTCAGGTAAAGACATATAAACTTCTTCAATTAAATCACCATATAAAAAAGCATTATTCACATCCAACTGAAACAGACTCCATTTAAACTGAACAGCTAAAGCTAAGATACAACGAACA